GCGCGGCCGCCGGCCGCGCGGCGGCCGGCCGCGGGCCACGGCGGCGGCCCGCGGCGAGCGCGCGGAGGGGGCCTGGGACTCAGACGCAGCGGGAAGCGACGCCCTCGCACCCTAAACCCTAAACCCTAAACCCTAAACCCTAAACCCTCACCGCATCAGCTTCATCTTCGCCCCGCAACCCTCCCGCAGGCAAGGAGGGTCGTCTTCTTTCGCAGAGCCATAAGAGCAGTAGCACTCGGGGGGGGGGCAATTCGGATTTGTGCACTTGTAGATCTTCGCGTTTGCGTACCTGCGGCAAACCCTAAACCCTAAACCCTAAACCCTAAACCCTTGACCCTCGACGCGACGGGACGTGGCGCAGCTGCGCGGGGATGCAGGGCTTCTTTGACGCGGGCGATTCGGGCCGCTCAGGGCCTCCAAACCATAAACCCTAAACCCTAAACCCTAAACCCTACCCTAGCTTGATGGTGATGTTTCTTTCTTTTTCGTGTTTGAAGCGAACTGTCTGTACACCCGAAACGGCGCGCACCACCGTCGACTTCCCGTGAGCCACATGGCCAATAGTCCCGAAGTTGATGGTGGCCTGCTCGCAAACCCTAAACCCTAAACCCTAAACCCTAAACCCTGAAGCCTGAAGCCCAGACCCTGAACCCTAAACCCTAAGCCGTGGAGCTGGGCTTTGGATTCGGGTGGGCTCCGGGCGAATGCGCTCGACAGCAAGAGCGGCTCACGAGGGTTTAGGGTTTAGGGTTTAGGGTTTACCTGGCGGCTTATAACTTCTGGAGAAAGAGGCGTCAGCTTGCTGACGTCCAGCTTAGACAAGTCCTGAACGAAACCTCAAACCCTTAACCCTAAACCCTAAACCCTAAATCCTGAACCCTGAAGCCTGAAAGCCGCAATACATTGGCGAAGTGGTTTATTACTCCGTTAGAGCCATCGCCGCGCTAAACACTAAACCCTAAAACCCCAAACCGCAGGCCTTAACTCCAAACCCTAAACCCTAAATCCCAAACCCTAAACCCTAAACCCTAAACCCTCCTACCTGTGGGAGAAGGTGATCCACAGCAGCCGCCATTTTCCCGCACGTCGGTTTTGGGGTCGCTGCGCAGATGGCCAAACCCTAAAGCCTAAATCCTAAACCCTAAATCCCAAACCCTAAATCCTAAACCCTAAACCCTAAACCCCAAGCACCGGACGCTAAACGCCGGGGTTGAGCTCCTGCGGCCCTATTCGAAGGCAAATGAAACCTCCTAAAACGATCACGGAATCCAAAAGGCCTAAAGCCCAAACCTTAAACCCTAAACCCTAAGCCCTAAACCCTCGCTGGAGCCCTCACCGCGCCGCACACCGTGTGGGGTTCCCGGGGGCAGAAGAAGACAGAAAAGATCTGAAGTCGTGGCCCCAAGGCTTCCAAGTGGTGTTTTAGGGTTTAGGGTTTAGGGTTTAGGGTTTAGGGTTTAGGTTTTAGGCTTTGCAGTGGGCCCGCTGGTGGCGCATGCAGGACAGCCCAAGCCCCAAGACCGCCGCATGCACTGCGGGTTCTCTAAACCCTAGAAAATTAATCTAAATTCCCTCAGGGTTTAAGGTTTTGGGTTTCAGGTCAAGGGTTTAAGGTTTAGGGTTTAGGGTTTAGGGCCTTCTGTTCTTCCAGCAGCAGCAGCCGCCAGCTCCCTGCTGCACATACACTCGAGAGCCACACACAAGCAGCACACCAATTCAAAAAAGGGTTTCGGGTTTGAGTTTGAACATTTAAAAGATGATGTTGAGGGTTTAGGGAGCAGTGCTAGGGTTTAGGGTTTAGGGTTTACACGCAGCCGGGACGAGGGTTACGGCGCTCTCGAGAGCCGCAGGCGCTGCAGCAGCAGCAGCAGCAGCAGTCACAGCAGCAGCAGTAGACACAGCAGCATCGAGGGGCTGCAGCAGCAGCAGAAACAGGAGCAGCAAGAGGCCCCTGCGGCGGCCGCAGCAGGGACAGCAGAAGCGGCGGCAGCAGCAGCAACGCTGGCAGCAAACGCATCACGTGCTGCAAGACTTTTCAGGGAAAACACAGCAGCAACAACATCCGCTGCAGCAGCAGCAGCAGCAGCTGCTGCTGCTGCTACTGCTGCAATTGCTTGCCCCTCCTTCCTTCTACGTCGCCCCTCCAAAACAGGAGCCTCATCGTCAACGCGAGCCCCCAACAACCAGGGTCTAGCGTTTAGGGTTTAGGGTTTAGGGTTTAGGGTTTAGGGTTTGGGATGTTGAGGGTTTCTCGGCAGCTGCTGGGGGGGGGCCCCGGGCGCTCTCTTTGCAAGCCAACAGCTCACGGGCTTTCAGATGGGCCTTTTAGGAGAATTAAATTTAAATTCGACAAGCAAATGAACCAAAAGAAATACAGAGTAAACCCTAAAC